TTAGTAAAGTAAGTATCTTATTAAGATCACGGATTTCTATAGAAAATGGAAAGAATAATTCATTAATGGATCATAGCAGACTCAATATACAATAACTAACTTAGTGGCTGGTGTCGTTTTGATTCTTTTACAAAAGGAGTTGCCATAATTGAGCTTGGAAATTTTTGGTATCGCCCACCTCTACTTTGAATTCAAATCTCTGTTACAGTCAAACGAATCACGTGACTCAGTCAGAGCTCAAGCTCAGAGCATGAATCTCATTATATAGTCCGTAGATTATGATTTTTTAGTAAAACAAAAAACACATTCTTAAAAGAAACAGACAAAAAAGAAATAAAAAAACACAAGAGAAAAAGAAATAAAGAAGAGAAAGAGATAAAGAGACCAATCACTAGATTCATTCATTCAATCCAGTCTCCAGATATCATCCTCATTCATAGGTCCTGTATCAGTAGTAGTCTCACTGCTCCCTGTACATTAGTAAGAGCTTCAGTAGCATAGTCCTTAGTTACATTATGTATTATTAAATCATTAACTGCTACCAGTTCATCTCCAGTCTTTATCTTTGAGTCTTTCTGTAACACTGACTCAGGTAGGATCCTCTTTACGTAAATGGGTACATCCCCAGTGGGAGAGCCACACCTACCAACGATACTGAGACCCAACCCCTGACCAATTCTCCTTTGATAAAAACTAATCCTGTAACTTCAACTCATTACTAGAGAGAGAGAGAGAGAGGGAAAGAAAGGGCAGAGATATTTAAGTAACTAAAGGAGGAAGGGTGTATAGTTGTGGGTACAATAGGATTTACTATCTAACTTAATTTACTTATTAGGAATTACAACTACAAATAATGTGACTCATAATGTATTAATACAAACAGTCAAACACACACACACACATGTACCACTACAGGCATAATACAAGAGCATGTATGTAGTAATGTACATGTACATGTATATGTACATAAAATATAAAGAAATAAACAATTTTTGTGATTTGATTCTTAAAATAAGAACTACATAGTGAGTACTATTATCCTCTCTCTCTCTCTCTCTCTCTTGGTAATAAACCATACAATAATAATTAGATTATTAATTCATAATAAAGAGAGTATGCTTGTAATAATATTCATAGTCATTAATTGTTTTTGTATTATATGTGTGAGGTAAATTGGCGGACTGCTATAACCAGCAGCTGCTACTACAAGTTACAACAAATAAATTGATTTATAATTACTGCTATGGAAAGATTGTAGACTTCAACAACACAGCATAAGGACATCAATATGTATCAGAAAATGTAATAAAAATTAGGGGTGATTTTGGTACCATTTTTTGGAAAAAACCCTGGGCTATATATAGCCTTAGGTATTTTTCAAAAACTGGCCCGTTTTTTTAAATGGTCATAACTCGAAAATTTCTTATCGGAATCGACTAAAACTTTCTACACAGCATAAGGGCGTCAATATGTATCAGAAAATGTAATAAAAATTAGGGGTGATTCCAGAGCCATTTTTCGGAAAAAACCATGGGCTATATAGCCTTGGGTATTTTTCAAAAATTGGCCTGTTTTTTAAAATGGTCATAACTCGAAAATTTCTTATCGGAATCACCTCAAACTTGCTACACAGCATAAGGACATCAATATGTATCAGAAAATGTAATAAAAATTGGGGGCAATTTTGGAGTCATTTTTTGGAAAAAACCATGGGCTATTATAGCCTTGGGTATTTTTCAAAAATTGGCTCATTTTAAAAAATGGTCATAACTTGAAAATTTCTTATCGGAATCACCTCAAACTTTCTACACAGCATAAGGACATCAATATGTATCAAAAAATGTAATAAAAATTTGGGGTAATTTCGGAGCCATTTTTCGGAAAAAACCATGGGCTATAGCCTTGGGTATTTTTCAAAAATTGGCCCGTTTTTTTAAATGGTCATAACTCGAAAATTTCTTATCAGAATCACCTCAAACTTTCTACACAGCATAAGGACGTCAATATGTATCAGAAAATGTAATAAAAATTGGGAGTCATTCCAGAGCCATTTTTTAGAAAAACCATGGGCTATAGCCTTGTGTATTTTTCAAAA